GACAATGCAGGAGACATAAGAGACATGGGTTTGATCCCTGGGTCAGGAAGATCCCCTGGAGGACGGCATGGCAACCAACTCCAATATTCCTGCCTGCAGAATCCCATGGACAGAGGAGCCTGGTGGGCTACAGTCCATGAGGTAGCAAACAGTCAGACACAACTGAAGCAACTTAGCATGCATGCCAATGCAGGAGACACGGGTTCAGTCTCTGGGTTGGGAAGATCTTTTGGAGGAGGAAATGACAATCCACTCTAGTATTCTTGCCTGGAAAATCCTATGGACAGAGGAGACTGACAGGCTGAAGTCCGTGGAGTCACAAAGAGCCAGACACAACAAAGTGACTGAGCATGTATGCACACATACTAATCAAAATAGTGCAGTGCTCACAAAAGCAGTCACACAGATCAACAGAAAGGAACAAAGCTCAGGAATAAGCCATGATTACAATCAATTAATCTATGACAAAGGAGGCAAAAATATCAAGTGGTGAAAGTCTCTTCAATAAATAGTGTTGGGAAAATTGGACAGTTAAACGCAAAAGAATCAAACTAGACCACTTTCTTATACCATATACAGAAATAAACTCAAAAATGGATTAAAGACTAAAAATATAAAACCCCTGTAAGAAAACATGGGCAATAAATCCTGACAACAGTATCTTTTTGTATCTATCTCCTCAAGCAAGAGAAACAAAAGCAAGAATAAACAAACAGGACTAATCAAACTAAAAGCTTTTGTATAGTAAAGAAAAACAACAACAAAAGAAAAAGCCAATCTTTTTATTGGGAAAAGATATTTGCAAGTGATATACCCAACAAAGGGCTAATATACAAAATATAAAAATAATATACACAACTCAATATCAAAAAACCAAGGAATCTGATTTAAAAAATGGGCAGAGGAACAGAAGAGACATTCTTCCAAAGATGACACACACATGACCAACAGAAACATGAAAAGTTGCTTAATATCACTAATTATCAGGGAAATGCAAATCAAAATCATGATGAGGTATCACCTCACACGTGTCAAAACAGCTATTACCAAGAAGACAACAAATAAAAAGTGTTGGCAAAGGAAAAAGGAACCCTCACATGTTGGTGGGATAAACTGGTGCAGCCACTACAGAAAACAATATGAAGGTTGCTCAAATAATAAAAAGAACTACCAGAAGATCCAGCAATTCCACTCCTGGGTTTCTATTTGAAGAAAACAAAATATTAATTTAAAAAGATATATGCACACCTATGTTCACTGCAACATTATGTCAAATAGCAAGATATGGAAGCAAACTAAGTGTTCACCCATAGATAAAGAAAATATGGTATACATTTATGTATACAATGGACTACTACTCAGCCATAAAACAGAATGAAATCTTGCCATACGCAACATGAATGGACCTATGGGTTATTCTGGTAAGTGAAGTAAGTCAGGTAAAGAAAGGTAAAAACCAGATGATTTTACTTATACGTCATACATAAAAACCAAAACGAACAAACAAAACAGAAACAGACCCAGATACAGAGAACAAACTAGTAGTTGCCAGAGAAATGGGGAGTTGGCAAATGGTCAAAATAGGTGAAAGAGATTAAAAGGTACAAACTTCCAGTCACATAATAAATAAGTTTTGAGGATATAATATAATGTACAGCATGAGGAATGTAGTCAATAGTATTATAATAACTTTGTATGGTGACAGATGGTTGCTATACTTTCCAAGGAGAGCACTTTTTAATGCATATAAATGATGAATCACTATTTGTACACCTGAAATCAATACTGTATGTCAACTATACTTCAATAATTTTTTAAAAAATAAATACAAGAGATAAAAACGGGAGTAGGAGGCTGGCAGTCAGGTTAGTATTATGTCAGTAAATACTATATTCCTTTTAGTGCTAAAATCTAAACAAATCAATAAAAACTATTCACAAATTTCATAATAAATCTTAGTATAATATACATTGTGTTCAGTTCAGTTCAGTCGCTCAGTCCTGTCCGACTCTTTGCGACCCCATGAATCACAGCACACCAGGCCTCCCTGTCCATCACAAACTCCCGGAGTTTACTCAAACTCATGCCCATCAAGTCAGTGATGCCATCCAGCCATCTCATCCTCTGTTGTCCCCTTCTCCTCCTGCCCCCAATCCCTCCCATCACTTCAATTATGTTCAACTCTTTTCGACCCTATGGACTATAGCCCACCAGGCTTCTCTATCCATGGGATTCTCCAGGCAAGAATACTGTAGTCAGTTGCCACGCACTCCTCCAGGGGATCCTCCCGACCCAAGGATTGAACCCACATCTCTTACATCTTCTGCAAGGGCATGCAGGTTCTTTACCACTAGCACCTCCTGGGAAGTCCATAATATATATCATTTACATCTAAATAATAAAAAATGAGAGAAAGCTATCTATTATACATGAATCTAAGTTCTGGTTTACTAAACATTAAAGAAAGCTAGTAAAATAAGGACATCCCAATTAGATTCAGTTTGGACAGCAGATTTGTTCAAGGGCCATATAATGTACATACAAACACCCTTTAGTAGTTTTTCCCCTTTCCTATTATATAAGCTCAGAAATAGGTGAAAGAAACAAAAGCGAAAAAAAGGAGGAGGGAGAGAAAAGAGTAATGGGGAGGGAGGGAGTATTGGGGAGGAAGGGAGGAAGGGACTAACAATGGTTTAAAACAAAGAAATAAAGACAATTTTAAACACACAGAAACACAGAACTTAAACATAAATAAAATATATGACTAAGTCACCTATCAAAATAATAGTAACAAGGTCAAATTAACAAGAAGACTATAATTCTCAATAAGGAGAATAAAGTTGAGATATAGTTTAGAATTTTTTTTAAATAGAGGAAAAAATTCCAAATAGTAATTAATATCTACAGATCTGGAAAAGTTAGGAATACTAAAATAGTGTACTCCAGAAAAAATATTTCAAAAAATAGATTATAAGCTTCTTAAGGTCAAAAGCCATACTATATTCATCTCTTTATTCCCCCTGGTGTCTACACATAAGAGTAATTTAGTACATTTTTTTAAGTGAATAATTCATTTGTATTATAGCTAAATGTTAATTCTCCCTAAAAGAATATCCAAAAGTAGTGCTTCAGGAATCCAAATCAGAGAGACCAGAGATGGTTTTTCTATAGTTATAATATGACATCAGAAGAAAAAAAGTTGGAGTTTCAAAAGTTTCTAAGGAAAGATAAGTTCAGATTCCTAAATGAATTAATGCTGCCTAATTATTAATAAATGCTTAAGAAAGTCATACATCTGTTCTTTTATAATGAGAGAAAATAGATTTTTTTAAAGTAACAGCATCAGCTTTCTGCAAAATATCACATTTTAAAAATATATTCACGAAGGTTATTTAAAAAGTACTTTTGTAAAGTTAGTACCAGTTATATAAAAAGTGTAGAAACCTGGCCTGCAGGCCACAATATTTCTTATAATTACTAGTAAGAAGTATAAATTGTAGAAAAATTTAAACTGATTATGAAAGTAGGTGTTACACTGCAAATAATTTTCTTTTCTTCGGCCATGCCATGCAATTTGCTGGATCTTAGTTCCCCAGCCAGGGATTGAACCCCAACCCCCTGCAGTGGAAGTACAGAGTCCTAACCACTGGACAACCAGGGAATTCCCTAAAATTAATTTATTTTAATCATCTTTAAACTTTAACATAACTTTTGATAAACTTCTATATTCATTGAAAGAGCACGCTAATATTTCTATTAACCAGAATTCTACTTATAAAAGATGGCAGAGATGAGATTCTAGCCACATATCTCCACCAATCAGAATACCTAAAACTATCACAGCTTATTAACACCCCTGGTCACCGGGGAAACTAATAAAAGTACTGACTTCTCAAAGTTCTAAATATCACCCTAACTTTATAAACCAGGCTCCAATTCTGATGATTTATAAGAGTAAAAATTAAATACAGTATATTCTGTATTGCAACAAAAGCCTTACAAACTACAGGCATACCTCATTTTATGGTGCTTCACTTTATTGTGTTTTATGTATAGAGTTCTTTTTTTCTTTTTTTACAAAATAAACTATACAAATTGAAGGTTTATGGCAACTCTGCATTATCAGATGATGATTAGCATTTTTTAGCAACAAAGTATCTTTTAATTAAGGGATATACATTTTTTTCTTGACATAATGCTGTTGCACACTTAATAGACTACAGTATGGTGTAAAGATAACTTTAATATATACCAGGAAACCAAAAAATTCATGTGACTCGCTTTATTACAATATTTACTTTTGGGGATGGTCTAGAACCAAACCTGCAATATGTCTGAGGTATGCCTATGTATTATTATATTCTAGAGACAAGAACAAAAAGGGAAGCCAAAGCACACTGAAAAATATTTCTTCACACACTAGTCATGGGAATTCTCTATATAATCACTTAAATTAATAACTTTTAAATTACAAAATATTTAATGATATAATAGTAATGGTTTCACTAGTAATCTGGCAATATAACCTCAAAAAGCAAGAGTTAATGCTATTATATACCAGTAATTCAATATTCTTCTCATTTCTAAATTATTTTCCTCTTCCTAACTAAAAGTGTTATTTTAGAAGAAACTCAAATTTGACAGAAATCTTCATTTAATTTCCTCAAAAACAAATCATAAAGATGTAGGAATTTTCATAATAGCAGATATTCCAGGAGGCTCTTATTTAAAGTGGGGGGGAATTACAAAATATTGATGAAATCACTTAAATTTCAAAAGACTGTAACCAATTATATATTTAATCTCAACAGATAACATCTTTAATGAAAATGAAATAAACTTACTGCCATCTACTTTAAGTCATATCCCAAATAACCAATACAAATTAATATGAAAGCATTTTACATTAAGTTTTTCACGCCTCTGTCACACTTTTGAACTCACTTGGGTAAACAGGGATCTTTCCAACAGCAGCAGCAGTTTCTACAAAGTTTATTTACCTTGTCCAGGTCTGGGAGTTACAGCTGCTCCAGCAGACGGTGGCTCAAACTCCTATCAAATACAGTGATGTTACTACAGGGTCCTACTACAGTGGGCAATCTATGATGAAACATGATATCACAGCCTTACCTTTGCTTTCTTTGAATCTGGATCAAACCTTTCAAGAATTAACTTAGCTGTTTTATAAGTTTCTTTTTCCATGACTTCTTCAAGCTGCAAACAAAAATTTCCACAAATTGTCACATTTTAAAACACTCATACACTACATATTTTTATAAGTCCTATTCAAATAGTATTCAAGTACAAGGTTTAAAATAAATAGCACATAATACATCCAGATAGCATGAAAGACTTCCTACATTCAAATAGTAAAATTCAGAATTTAAAATGGCTTCTAACCTCTAATATGTTACTTGTATTTAACAGCTTTACCACAAGGAAATACCAAATATTGCTAATTGTTTACGTATAATGAGGAGAATAATTACATGCACCAACTTCAATAATGGAATGTGCAAAAATCTATCAGCCATCATTATTGGAAGTTATTAGACATGACAAGCAAATGACAGGCAATTCCTCAGATTTATTTCCTCATAGCACTTAATGCTATTAATTTAAAGAAGGTCGTTAGCCAAGAGCTTTACAAAATAAAATCTCTGTGCCAATTAACTGCTGTCAGCATCGATTTTAGATTATTTATTAGCAGAAGCAATTAGCTTGCTGCAAAATGCAGTGAAAACTCAGTAACTGGGAGAACAGCCATGCTCTCTCATGGAATTTGCTCAAATGACTTTAAAAGGTGAAGCTCTCCCTTGTTTACTTAGATTCAAACAACTTTAGAGGGAATAAACAGAACACAGTAAGAATTTAAGTAAAAATCTTACTGAGTTCTATGCTCACTCTAGTGACTATAATTAAAGCACTTCATTATTATAGCATTTTATTTACAATGCACTCAAGTCGCTTTATGGCTTAATATGTGGGTTTAATTTCAAAAGCAATCACTAGTAAAGCATCATCTTAGCAGTTAAAGCCCAATATCAGAAAAAGTTTTACTTTAATGCAAGACAGTCATAATTATGACAGATAGCTAATATACAGAATGAAAATGCTTTTGCAAAACTTGGAAGAGGAACTTCCTTTTCAGTGACCACTGACAGCCACTTAGATTCATTAAATGTCATGTTTATTACAAAGGCCATTTATTTTAAAATGCAAAGCAGAGCACATTTACCAAGTTAAACTATAATGAAAATATGCTGCCACAATAGTAGTTAGATTTCTCATTAAAAACTCAATATAATACTTAAGAAGTTAAAGTGCTTAGATGAACGATTTATTAATCTTGGTTTAGTGAAACTAAAACATTTTTCTAATTATTTCAAAATCATCATAAAGTCTTAAAACAAGCACATCTAATGTATATCCATGGCTGATTCATGTCAATGTATGACAAGAACCACTACAATATTGTAAAGTAATTAGCCTCCAATTTTAAAAAAATGAAAATAATTAAAAAAAAAACAAGCACGTCTAAATTTCAGATGTAAAGAAAATGTTTGTAACATTATTTCTTTAGGGTTGGGGAAAAACTGAAATGGGGACAGAAGGCAAGATATGATCTATCCCCAAATGAACATAATCTACATGAAATAGCAGAGAACTGAATCCCTGACCTCTACAAATTAATTTTTGATAGTCCAGACCAGTGTTATAACAACAGAATTATATGCAATAATGAAAGTAGTTTATATGTATATAATACAATAGAAATATTGCTTGTACAACTAAGGAACCCAACTGTAGCTTTTATTCTACTTTGTACTCAATCACTCAGTCATGTCCAACTCTTTGGGACCCCATGTACTGCAGCCTGCCAGGCTCCTCTGTCCATGGGATTCTCCAGGCAAGAGTACTGGAATGGGTTGCCATTTCCTCTTCCAGGGGATCTTCTTCCTCACCAGGGATAGAACCCGCATCTCCAGCATCTTCTGCACTGGCAGGTGGGTTCATTACCACTAGGACCACCTAGGAAGCCTCTTTATCCTACTTCAAATAACATAAATTTTAAAAGCTACATGGGTCTAGTGGCTGATTTGGACAGCACAATTCTAGAGTAAGACTATGCTGCTGCTGCTAAGTCGCTTCAGTCGTGTCCGACTCTGTGTGATCCCATAGGCAACAGCCCACCAGGCTCCCCCGTCCCTGGGATTCTCCAGGCAAGAACACTGGAGTGGGTTGCCATTTCCTTCTCCAATGTGTGAAAGTGAAAAGTGAAAGTGAAGTCGCTCAGTCGTGTCCGACTTTTAGTGACCCCATGGACCGCAGCCTTCCAGGCTCCTCCGTTGATGGGATTTTCCAGGCAAGAGTACTGGAGAGGGGTGCCACTGCCTTCTCCAAGAGTAAGACTATAGCTGGGTTTAAAAAGAAGATTAGATATAACTGTGATCTTTAAAACAATACACAAGACTAAAAACTAAAATGCCACTTTAACAAGCGACTGTCACTCCTAGTACATCATTCAGCAAATATTCATGTTTATGTCTATGCACATGTAAAGTATCTTAAAATCATTTTAAAAGGCAAAAAATACAAATCCATTCTCTTTTGCACTTCAGTTCAGTTCAGTCGCTCAGTCGTGTCTGACTCTTTGCGACCCCATGAACCGCAGCACGCCAGGCCTCCCTGTCCATCATCAACTCCCAGAGTCCACCCAAACCCATGTCCATTGAGTTGGTGATGCCATTCAATCATCTTATCCTGTGTCGCCCCTTCTTCTCCTGCCCTAGATCTTTCCCAGCATCATCAGGGTCTTTTCAAATGAGTCAGCTCTTTGCATCAAAAAATCTTTTTTCAGGTAATAGCTTAATTCACACATTTATTCCTATCACATTTTAAGCGAATAATCTCTTTCATATAGAGAGACATCTGATCAGTGGGAAGAATACAAACTTGAAACCACAGCATCAGAAAAGATCTAGGTTCAAAGTACATCTCCATTCTTAATTAGCTGTAGAAAGACTTTAAACAAATCTGTTAGCCCCAGTGTCTCCTTTTGTAGAGCTGAAAAAATACTACTACTTTCTCATAACACTGTTGTTCAATTTAAATAATATAGGAGAGTCTACAATAGTACCTAACACAAAACACATGATCTTCAGAGATTACCTTCAATTTTTCAGAGTGGAACTGAAACAAGTTTTCAAACACATCTTCAACTATCCAACACATTAATACCAGGACTCAGGAATGAGAAATTGATTTCTCAGAATACCTGAAATTATAAATTACTCTGTATTCTTCAAAATATTTTACATACTTTAAATAATAATGAATGATGTAACAAAGAATGGATTGCTTTTCTGTGATATGATTATATTGAAAGTTCCAGAGTTTTTTATTTAATATAGAGAGGGAGCCCCTGGTTCAGTTCAGTTCAGTCGCTCAGTCGTGTCCGACTCTTTGTGACCCCACGGACTGCAGCATGCTAGGCCTCCCTGTCCATCACCAACTCCCGGAGTTTATTCAAACTCATGTCCATTGAGTCGGTGATGCCATCCAACCATCTCATCCTCTGTTGTTCCCTTCTCCTCCTGCCTTCAGTCTTTCCCAGCATCAGGGTCTTTTCCAATGAGTCAGCTCTTAACATTAGGTGACCAAAGTGTTGGAGTTTCAGCTTCAACATCAGTCTTCCAATGAATATTCAGGACTGATCTCCTTTAGGATGGACTGGTTGGATCTCCCTGCTGTCCAAGTGACTCTCAAAAGTCTTCTCCAACACCACAGTTCAAAAGCATCAAGTCTTTGGTGCTCAGCTTTCTTCACAGTCCAACTCTCACATTCATACATGACCACTGGAAAAACCATAGCTTTGACCAGATGGACCTTTGTTGGCAAAGTAATGTTTCTGCTTTTTAATATGCTGTCTAGGTTGGTCATAGCTTTTCTTCCAAGGAGCAAGTGTCTTTTAACTTTATGGCTGCAGTCACCATCTGCAGTGATTTTGGAGCCCCAAAAAATAGTCTGTCACTGTTTCCCCATCCCTGATACCCTGTGGTAAAGAATCCACCTACCAACGCAGGAGATACGGGTTTGATCCCTGGTTCGGGAAGCTTCCACATGCCACGGGTGCACCGTAAGAACGGAGCCTGGGCCGTAGAGCCAGGAGCTGCAGCTACGGAGCCCGCGCACCACAAACGCCAAAGGCCGAGCCTGTGCTCCTCGACAAGAGAAGCCACAGCAATGAGAAGCCTGTGTACTGCAAGCAGAGAGCAGCCTCCGCTTGCTGCAACTAGAAAAAAGCCTGGGCAGCAACAAAGATCCAGCACAGCCAAAAATTTAAATAAATAATATACAAAAGAGAAAAATAAACACGTGATTGCTTATTATGAATCAACATTATTTTGGCAAGCTTATATACTTTGAGAACATATAAAAATTATTTCTACCTGATACAGAATTTCATCAGAGAACACTAAAAGAAGGGAACACTAACACAAAATAAATGTCAATTTATTTTAATTTTAATTTTGAGAGAAAATTCTACAATATTTAAATTATAATTCTTGAAATAAACTTTTAAAACGCAGAAAGCATTAACTGCCCTATCCAATATTCTTGTTCCTTGTCTCATAATGAATATTCCACATGTAGAAAAACATCTTTTGGGGTTTCCCTGGTGGCTCAGTGGTAAAGAATCCACCTGCCAATGCAGGAGACACAGATTCTATCCCTGAGTCGGGAAGATCCCACAGGCCTCAGAGCAACTAAGACCATGCACTACAACTACGGAGGCTGTGTTCTAGAGCCCAGAAGCCACAACTACTGAGCCCACATGCCTTCTAGCCCATGCTCCGTAACAAGAGAAGCCACTGCAATGAGAAGCCTGCACACTGCAACTAGAGAGTAGCCCTGGCTCGCCATAACTAGAAAAAGCCCACACAGCAACAAAGACCCAACACAGCCAAAAATATATTAAAAAATAAAATTTTTAAAAAGAGAAAAATGTCTTTTGGACTTCCCTGGTGCTCCATTCGTTAAGAATCCACCTGCCACACATATATATGGAATTTAGAAAGATGGTAATGATAACCCTATATGCAAAACAAAAAAAGAGACACAGATGTACAGAACAGACTTTTGGACTCTGTGGGAGAAGGCAAGGGTGGGATGTTTCGAAAGAACAGCATGTATATTATCTATAGTGAAAC